AGGTCCATGTTGTTATCCTTGCTGTAACAGATGAGGAAACTGAGGTTCCTGGGACTCAGTGACTTGTCTCAGATCACAAGGCTCGTATGTGGCTGGCCTGAGATTTGATCCCAGTGAGTGGCTTGCTAACCTGAGCCCCAGCCACTACACTCACTTGCCCTTCCCTTCATACAGTGGGACCTTGTCTCAGTCCAGGGTGATGGGCTTCAGAGCCTTTGGCATAGCAGCCAAATGAATATCCCCTTCTAGACTTTTGAGATACTGCTCAGAGCAGAGTGGTCCATTTGGTTCATTGGTGCATCTCCAGTACTTGGCACATAGTCGTAAATGTTTGTGAATGAATGATGCTTACCATCTTACGGGATCCTGTCCTTGAGGAAGCTGTCCACCACTTCCTCTCTGAATAAAGGACTCTTCCATAAGCTCCCAACACTGGAGTCCCCTTATTTCATGGTGCCAAACTCTAGGTCCCTGCTAATAATGCCAATAACCCATCACAAGCCTCTCGGTACACTGTGTGTGATGAGTTCTGCAGGCCTCCAGGTTCAGAGAGGCACTTGATAAATGTTCATGGACTTGAATATACAGATGCTATTGTGCTGTTCAGTAATTGGGCTTAAATGGTTATTCCTATAAATGACTATAATTAGGGTTACGTTTGTAGCATTAAAGCAAATTTTAGCTTTTCTATGTGAACTTTTTTAGTTTTTCAGTATCCATAATTTAGTGTTGCTCTCCATTCTGGCACCATTTCCTTTGTGCCCCTCTTGCTCAGCAGTTACAGAGCACTGAGTGTGCAGTGGACCTGGCGTGTGACGCCTGCACCTCAGCTGCCATCTTTGGTGCTGTACCCAGGCTGGCTTGCTGGGGAGGCAGATCTTGCATTGTACCTCTCCAGCTCCCAGCCCTGATCTCACCTTCACCTGACTTCTGTCGGGGAATGAGTTCCCCCAGCATTGTCCCAGCTTGTCTCCATTAAAGCTCCGGGGAAAGAAGAGGCAGATTTAGGAGTTCATCTGGGGAGAGGAGAAAGGGGAACTCTGGACAAAACAAAGCAAGAAATGGTAGAGTCTTCTGGAGCCAGAGAGAAGGAAGTGAACATCAGCTGAGTTCCTAAATATGCCCGCCACTTTCCTGTCCTCATTCCCGTGGAATATCTGTGAGCTCATAGCATCATCGCTTTTCTCCTACATAAATTTGGGAGTTGTGGAGGCTGAGCACCCCATGATTGGAATGGAGGAATTCGAACCTAACACCCTGGCCATAAAAACCAAGGCTTTGTGTTGTGTTTTGCCCCACTACACATATTTTAGGAAGAGATTCCTTCAGGCATATGTAGGACTCAGAAATGAAAGTTGGAAATGGGATGAATGTATTCCAGCTAAGATTTTGATTTCAGTGGAGGTGTGGGGGAAGAGAGAACAAATGGGAAAGAAGGAAGCCAAGCCAAACCTGTCTCCCTTCTAATTCAACCATGACACCCTTTACATGCTAGTAACTAACAAAAATGGCAGGAGCACCAGCAAACTGGTGCCCATTGGGTTAAGAGCTATTGAAGAATGAGCAATCACAATGCATGTTAATTTTTTGTTTTCAGAACTCAAAGAAGTTTTTAAAAGGCAGATGATTTGATTAAATATTTTTAGCTCTTCCAATATCCTAAAATGAGTGTTTGTTCCCAGAGCTGATTCCACTAAGCTACTCTTGATTGAAGAGGAAGAGGAGGTGGTGGTGGTGGTGGTTATAACCCTTCCTGGCCACTCAGGGGCAGCACCAAGCAGTTCCAGTTGCTCTTAGCTGCTCTGTTCTTCAGGAGAAGCTTTACTGACCCCTTGGTGGAGCTCAGAATTCCTCCTGCACCTGTTCCCTTCTTGTTTGGCCACAGGGAATGGTGGCAACACTTTTTAGCTCAGAAAGTAAATTAAGCAAATAACAACTGCAGTATTGCACGAGAAAAGTACAGTATAATCAGAATATAATTTGGGCATTTGTTTCCTTTTTAATCATCGTGACAAAGCAATATCCTGATTGTGTTGTGGGTGGTTGGATGATTCGTATTTCTTAGCCAAGAAAGATACTCAGGCTTTTTTGAGTTTGTTTAGGTTGAAATCCACTGGGACAAAGGACAGCCATATTCTTTTCCCTTTCTTTTTTCTTTTTTTAAATACATGTGCTGCCCACCTGAGCACATCTTTTCCCTTTCTTATTGTTGATGAATTCTTGTGAGTATTCACAGGTTGGAGATTTTCTAAGAGGCAGCAAGAGACAGTGGGAAATATGGTCCTGTCTTCTGGATCTAAGAGTCTTTGACCCTCCCACAGTAGCCTGTCCTAGGCACCCTGGCAGGGGCACTGAAATGTGGGCTGAGAGCAGTGTCTACCCATTTTGAACCTTTTCCACATCAGCACGTCACAGTACCCCATCCCAGCCTCATGCCCACTCCAGGGGCTGAGTTCACTGGGATTCTAAGTTGCACATATCATCCATTATCCAACCCAGAACATTTTTGCCAGGAAAAGGGCTGCTCTTAATTTTGCCAAAATGACCTGCATGAACCAGGTCATGGGGGAGAACTGAGACTTGTGGTCATCCTAACTGCACATATTCTGCCTCTGTCAGTTTCCCTTTTGCTGACTCCAGCTGAGATCTAGATGCACTATACATGTCTGCTCCTTCAATAAGTGTTCATTGAGTTTTTCCTGTGTGCCAAGCTCTTACCTGTATTGTATTGTTTTCTCCTCATAACCACCCTGTGAGGTAACTATTACTGTTAATATAAATATTAACAGTAATAAAATTTAAAAACCTGAGAACTTACATTAATAAATGACTTCCCCATGGCCACAGCATCTGCAAAACAGAGCTAAGACCAGAATTCAGGCTGCCCTTACTCTTGAGCCATAGATGCTCAAAACTGTTGCCATATTGTAGACTGTTTTTGAGCCTTCTTTGCAGGCCTAGCCCCATGTGACACTGTGCCTGTAGTAAGGTCTCAGAGGCATATCACCAAGTGATTGGGGGAGCCCAGGCCCCCACACATACTAGCTTTGCCCATCACTCAGTTTCCTCAACTCTGAAGTGGATACACTGACTTCCTATCATGAAGGTGAGGGTAAGTGAGGTAAACTTTGATGTGGGATCAGTCTCAGATGATATGACTGTGTTTGCCTGTTTTCTGCTATTAAAGTAGGGGTAATATAAATAAATGTTCTCCAGATCAAGAGAGTTCAGGGCCAGGGATTTAGCTCAGTGGTTCCACCGCCTACCTTGCAAGAGCAAGGACCCAAGTTTGATCCCCAGTACCAAAAAAAAAAAAGAGTTCAGCTTCTTTTTGGAGATGGGAGGGTAATAACAAGGTCAGAGCGGCGGGCTGAGGGGAGTGGGTAGGGCCTGTGTGGGGAGCCAGTAGCAGAGTCCAGTGGGCTGCTTCATGCAGAGTCAAGGAGGTGGCTACTCAGAGCTCAGACCCAGGGGGCTGCAGGCTTTAATAAACAGTGAGGTGGGCTGGGGGTGTGCATCCAGGCATGGCTGATGTATCTGCCTGGAGAAACAGTCTGGCCCAGAGCTGAAGAAGGGAGCTGCAGGAGGGGCAGGCAGGCTAGCAGACAAGCATCTCTGCTCTGACCAAGGGCTGGCCCTGTCTGAGCCACAAGCCAGCCTGGTACCTGTGATGTCCTTGTCCCCTCAGGCAGCATCCCTGAAGTGTGCAGGGGAACCGTGTGGGGCTCTCACAGCCTTTCCCCCCGCCACAGGCACTGCCCCCTCTCCTGGGTCCATCTGTAGAAGGCACTGTGTGCTCACATCTGAGGCAGTTACCCAGCCTTCGCCTCTGGGACTGGAGCAATTCATTCCAGCAATTCACTGGGCTGCTGCTTTTGTTGTTGGCATTTTAGTGGGGGGGTCCCTGATAAAGCGTGATTAGCAATTTGGGAAAGAGGTGCCCAGTCTCCCAGTGTGGAGAATAACACTGGACTCAGTGTTGGTCACATTAGGACAGCTGACTACATTTCTTCAGTCTGTTTCCAAGTTCACTTTTGGAAACTTTATAAGCTGGATTTTGGGAGCCATCCTTTGGCTCCTGAGGAAAAGTAGGGCTGCTCATCTGTCCCTTCTATCCTGGGAAAGTGATCTCTTCAACAGATGTGCAGTTTAGAAGGGCCGTGGGGATTCAGGGAGAGGTGAGAGACCACAGCTCAGACCGGCCCACCGGCCAGCAGCCCTGACAGGGCTGTAGTCTGTATCACCCCGCACATATCCTGGGGATTTTGCCATATACGTCTTTGGGTTTTAGGCTTGTTCAAATAAGCAAACAGTGCTTTTTAAATGAAAGGGGAAAATGAATAATAGAACTTGAAAAAGGAATTAGGGGCATGGTCTCAGAGAAAATACCTCTCAAGGGTGGAGAGCAAGTGAGCTTCGTGCTCTGAGGCATCTCACAACACCATGTATCCCATGGGCACTCCAGGATTCGTTCCTATAACACGTGCTGCTTCACCTCAGGCCTACTTGTTGCTTTTTCTCCGTTTTCTTCCCTTTCTGGGTGTTACACATTGTGTTGCGTTGTTACTACAAAAAAGCACTCCACATGTATGTTCTCTCTCTTGGTTTCTTTTCCTAGATGCTTAACAGGTCTCATGGGGTTGCATTTCTTACTATTGAAAAAAAGAACCTGCCTTATCATAGATCACAGGAGTGTGAAAATTTTTATACCCCTTACTTGGCCCTATAATGGTACACCTGGTAATCTGAGGAGAAAACATCTGAACACACTGCACACATTAAGCAAGGACATCATCCTGGCATTTCTTTCATCGCAAAAGAGGAGTCATAATTTGATTTTCCAACAATTAGAGGATTTGTTAACCAAATCAGATGATCAAACCTAGTGAGGCAATTGAAGGCGCATTAAACATACCGGTGATGCCCCAAGGTTTTGGTGTGAACCGACGTGGATTGACGTGGACCAGAGATTGATTTCCTGCCTCTGCCTTGTCTTCCAGTGTTTTGCTGTGCGCTCTCTGGGATGGGTAGAGATGGCAGAGGAGGACCTCGCCCCTGGTAAAAGCAGCGTGGCTGTCAACAATTGCATCAGGCAGCTTTCGTACTGCAAAAACGACATCCGAGACACAGTTGGCATCTGGGGAGAGGTAAGTAGCATGTGGACATAATTAATGACTGACCCCTCCAGATCCCCTCCCGCAGCTCCATGAGACGTGGGGCCGAGGGGCTGGGTGTGTGTCGGCTATGTTTCCCCACAAAGGCAGACAGTGTCCGCACGGCACACCCGGGTGACCAGGGTGTGACCACTGTCTGCTCTGCCACGTCCCACTGTGGACTGAGGCCCTGTATGAGAGTATTTCTCAGAGTCTCCTGATATCCTCCAGTCCTCAAAGATCCTTGGGAGAATTTTAGGGTTCCAGAAGCCTCTGAATTTTGCGTGCAAAATTGGTATGCCAGTCTATTTGGGACATCTCCTAAGAGAAGACACACTGCTTTCTCAAAGTATATTCTTTTTTTTTTTCATTTTTCCTCTGGCAGTACTGGGGGTTGAACCATCCAGGGCCTGCATCCCCAGCCCTGTTTTTATTTTTATTTGTGCTTTTATACTGAGACAAGTTCTCACTAAGTTGCCCAGGCTGGGCACAAACTTGCCATTCTTCTGCCTACAGCCTCCCAAAGTTCAAAGTATATTCCATGCATACTTGCAAAAGAATAGTGATGCCCCAACTCTGGAAGGTGACTAGTTAATCCTTTCATAGTGCACCTTTATTTATAGTCTGAAAATCAACATTGTACATGAGTTGTGGAATTGATGCCCATATATTCTCTCTTACTTTCCACAAAATGATTCCATTTTGAAATGTTAGCTGAAATAATTGCAGAGAAGAAAGTAATAGGTAAGAACACCATTATTTGTATAAAAGTCACATCAAGCAGGAAAAGCCATATTCCTACTGTGCTTAAGACCTGTAAAAATTACGGGACCTTAGCATAGTGCTTGTTGCATGAAGATGCTCCGCCCTGTCCATGTCCAGTTAGCAGGAACTGAGAGCGAACTTTTGCTTCCAGACTGGGCTGTGTGGAAATCCATTCACTGTGGGAGGTAGGTTCCCAACCCTTCCAGTGGAGCTGCATTCATTCTGAGAACCTTCGATAGGAATCTCAAATATTGTTCTCAAGAGCTTTCTCGTGGATGTGGTGCACACCTGTAATCCCAGTACTCAGGAGGCTGAGGCAGGAGGATCACAGTGAGCTTGAGGCCATCCTGGACTACATACATAGTGAGACCCTGTATCAAAAAAATAAGAGCTTTCCCAGAGAGCAATTGGTTGGTCTTCCTTTGGTATGAGAAGACCCACCAAGAAGCCTCTTTATGCTACCTGAGGATTGCACATTGAAGGAATGAAGTTGAATAATCCTCCTGTCCTCAGAGGCCCAACAGCTATGGGAACATGGAACACCAAAGCTTCCAGACCTGAATTGCAGCACAAGAGCTGAGAAACCCAGACACTGCCCTGTCTCAGTGATACAGCAACACCCAGCACGCTTCTGAGTCAGACCTCGGACAGGTCCCTTAACCTCTCAGCCTCAGTTTCCCCACGTGTTAGTCAGAGATAATAATAAATCAAGCTCTTCTAGGATCATTTAGAGAGTTCCTGAGCCAGGACACTTCAAGCACCCAGAGTATGTGTATGGGATACACAGGCATATAAATGTGAGCCATCAGCACCAAGAAATGTCACAGAGCCCTGCCTGCTGGCTGCCAGCTGCACCACACGGACATGGCATGATGTGAACGTGGAAGAGTGAAGCCATGGCTGCAGGTCCTGAAAGGCCAACGGGATGCCTGCAAGGGTCTGACCAGGGCAGTGGGAGAGAATGCTTATCAGAGTCTGATATGTATGGAGTATGTGAGAGAATAGATTCTCCAGGCCTCTACATTGCCTTTCTTCTTAAAGATTCAGCTCTGTAAATAATTAAAACTAAGAGCCAGCTAGAAAGCAGCTGGAGACACACTTCAGAGGACTCAGAGCAAGAGAAGGGTAGGGGTCCTAGCGGGGTGGGAGAGTGGATGAATATTTTAGTCTGGAAAGGATGGCTCCCTATTGGGAAAACAAATTATTGACCCAAGGGCAGACCTCTTTGGGGCACTGAAACAATGCCCCGAGGTGGCAGTAATTGTGGTTAGGACGTGGAGCCTCCGTAAGGGAGACAGCGTGTTTCTGTTGCATCCCAGGGCAAAGACATGTACCTGATACTGGAGAACGACATGCTCAGCCTGGTGGACCCCATGGACCGCACCGTGCTGCACTCCCAGCCCATCGTGAGCATTCGCGTGTGGGGCGTGGGCCGCGACAACGGCCGGTGAGTCTCAGGGCTGTCTCTGTCCCAGTCCCTGTCCCTGTCCCTGTCCCGACTGTGGGCCCAGTTTCAGCTTCATACCGACATGTGGTCTCACAACGCCTCGCTGAATATGAAACTTGACAGAAAGCTGATTAGGAATATAATAAAGTAAAGCACATCTCTGTTTCCCTGCCCAGAAACCTTCGAGTCACATCCCTTCCTGCTTTCGGTAGCTGAAACCTTTTGTCAGCTCTGGCTCCTGCTTTTGAGTTCTGCTGTTTCTCCTCCCAGTCATCTTCGTTCTACTACATTCCCAGCTCTCCTGGCAATCTGAACCCCTTTACTTTCTCTTTTCTGCAGTCTTCTTCTAACCAACTCTGTTTCAATCAGTTGAATCCCAGCCACTTAACATGCCTGCCCAGTGGCATTTTCGTCATGGAAGGCTTCCTTGAAAAGATAAGGTCACACAGCCTTTAATCACCAACCTTAGATCACAAAATCATGAGTGTCTGGAATTTCTAGGGTTGGGGTTACGTAAACCTGTTAACACTTAAAATGTTTGGTTATATCGAAATTGCATTCCAAGTGTATTTTTGTGAAATTCTACTGAAAATGTATTATTAATGGGTAAATGTGTTGTGAATTTTTTGTTCTCCAAGACGCCTGGAAACAAGAACATCCCAATTTTCAAGAACATATTGTAACTAATAATTTAAGCAACAGTTATCACAGGCATCATACTTGAAGACCACTGATAAGTAATTGGGCTATGTTAAATTCAGTTAACCTTAAATTATAATCATCAGTCTTTGGCAATTCCCAAGGTCTTAGAGGGTCTCCTAGCATTTAAGGACAAGCTATACGATGTATGGGTATTGCTTGCTGAAAATGGACAAGAGCATTACAAAAGCGGGTGAAAACTCCAGATGACAGATGGTTTACCTAGGCTCTGGGTCCATTCCTGGGCATTCTGGTTTTTTATCAGGTTGCCTGGTCCTCTCTAAAGGGGTCCTGCCTTGTTTCATTGCAGCCTTTCTCCATGAACGGTGGGCATTGATGCATTTGATTGTCCTCAGACTCAGCTCCACGCTCTAAACTAGAAAGGAAAGACTGTGGCTAAATATTAATCTACAAAAGAGAGAAGTGTTCTCTGCTGATTGGATGAACCTTCTTGGGCACGGAGTATATCTTTGAGATTATTGTAACAGTGATGCGTGCTGACCACTGGGATGGGTGCTGCAGGTGAACGTGTGGATAGATTCTGCGTATGCATCTGTCGTTCGCTTGCTGGGCACCGCTGTACCCCTGGACCTGATGCCCTGACATCCCATGAATACTTTCACAAGGGCACTCTCTGATGACATTGGGTAATCCTTGAAAACATTTAGTCTTGGTGGAAGGTGCTAGGTACAAGATGCTTGGTACTTGCCAGGTTCCTCGTCCCCCAGTTTGTTTTTAAGGCAGGAGCCAAGATTTGTACGACCCAATGTGGTTAAGTGCGGGTGTTTTTGTTTTTGTTTTTGGATGCTGAGGCTTGAACATGCCAGGATGTTGAACATGCTAGGCAAATGCTCAAATGCTGAACTATACCTCAAGCCTGGTTGTGTATTTTTAAGTCTTAGTTGTTAGGGGATTTCACTGATGAGGATTTTTCAGCCCACTCCAACACTTTAAAATGAGTCCAAATGCTATGTGATTGGAAGGATTATTCAAATTCCCAGTTGAGAAAATTATTCAAGCTCCCTAACCCTCATTGTCTTTCATCTGAGAAAGGATAATCATTGTAGGGAGCACAACACATGTGTATATGTGCAAGTGTGTGTGTATAATAATTGGCACAGTGGTGGAGACATGGAAAATGTGTAATGAATGTTTGCCCTTGAGTTTTTAAAGCAAAATACACTTAGGAGATACGGCTGATTCCATGGCTTCCTTTCTGAAATACTGAGGGTGAAGAATCAGCCCCTGGGGAGGCTCCGGGGATGGTCTGTGATGTGAGGCAGAGGATAAAAGGCTGTTGCAAACAAGAATGAGTTCAGAGGTCCTACACAGCAGGAGGAGCCCCTCACAGCCCACCCCCGGTGATGCTGGGGTAATTCAGCTAGGATCGCCTCAGCTGCATTTTCAGAAACATAGGTCACTTATTCTTCCTTGGTGTTGGCAGAGAAGTATAATATAGAAATATACTCAGAGTTCCCCCAGCAGGCTGTCACGGCCTCAGCAAGCTCTGTGGTTGTGGGGGACCCTTGAGTGGCATTGCTTCTGGAGCAATAAATAGAGAAGCATGTTTGCCAGGGAAAGAGTCTGTGTCTCCCCATTGGCTCCCTGAGTTTTTATTCCCTATAAAGGACCTTTGTATTCCTGCTTTTTTTAAATCTTCCTTTGCTTTTGATTCTTTTTTTCTTATATACAGCAATTTACAAGAGCAAATTCAGTTTGTAATGCAGCAAAGGAAAGAAGTTTTCACTTTGCATGAATAAAACATAAAAGCATTTCATTTTGCTGGGGAAAATGAGCCCATTTTACATTCTTTTTTGTAACTTTCCTTGCTGAGAAAATGGAATCTCTTAGGGGATTTCTTGATGTGGTTAAAATGAATAAGAAAAGTGTGTATACCAGGCACTGGGGGCACAAAACCTCCCTGCAAAGGCAATGTACTTTCTTCCCTTAGCCATGTAACTTCAGAATTTCAGAGAGTGTTTGGGTTTGGCATTTTCTTAAGAATTTCAAGTGGTGCAGATTTGCTCTGAAGAAATTTCTGAGGCAGTGAGTTTACTGTCAGTGAGGAGGTGACCTGCGGGGATGCCCCACACTGTCCTGGATGAGCTGCAAAAGCCTCTTGGTTCTCTGTGGTGCTTCAGTTCTGACTCAGGTGTTGTCCTAACCCTGTCTCAATTGCTTTGTTGCCTGGCACAGCAGGGCTGCCTCCCTTCTTGGCCACACCACGCTTTGGTTCCTTTGGGTCTCACAGACGGAGACCTTACATTTCCCAGTGCAGCCCCAGATTGACCCATTCTGTTTGTACTGCTGTATGCAGAGTTCTGAGTCTTAGAGCTAGGGTTTTGCCCTCAACAGCTAGGACAGGTGGCTGGCTTGTCCCCAGTCATATTGTCTGTATGGCCCTTCCAGGCCACCATCCCAAGGGTGGGTGGGAAGGACATCACTTCCCCGTTTCAGAGACCAACGCTGACCTCCAGCTTCAGCGTTCTTATTCATATTCACTCAGATCCTGAGGAGCATCTTTCTGCTTATCTTTTACAGAAGTGTCAAAAACAAACAAATGTAGCTGTACGTGGGAGCTCACAGTTGTAATCCCAACACTCAGGATGACTATCATAAGTTCAAAGCCACCGTGGGGTACATAGTGAGTTCAGGGCCAACCTGAAGTACACAGTGAAGCCCTGTCTCAAAAATAAACAAATAAATGAATAAATAAATAAAAAATAAAAAGCAAATGTAATCACTGAATGTAGGGGTCTTTTAACAGGACTCTCCTTTTCCCTTGAGGCAGGTATGTGTCTCTCTTCTAGGAAGGGGCACTGAGATCCTTGTGTCCACTAAGCAACATGCAGTGGAGCCTGCTAAACCCTTTGGCTTCCCATGAGGAAGGAAAATGGGTGGGCAGAATTGTCAGAGGGTTTCAGATCCCATTATCGGGCAGTGTACAATGGGAGAATAGCCAGGTGAGATATTTGTAGACTTTCCTTGACAGAAAACAAAAAGGTTCTGGGTTCACCTGGGATACTGGCTTAAATAAAGCATGATGGGCCCCTTTCCCCTGGGCTCTCCCTCTCTGCAGTGTGCACTGAACCCTCTAAGCAAACTCCATCCAGGCTTGACTGGAAGCCTTGCTGCATTAGCCCACTTGTGTTACTATAACAAAATACCTGAGATAATCAGTTTTAAAGAGAAAAAAGTTTATCTTGGCTCATGATTTTGGAGGTTTTAGTCCATGGCTTATTGGCCCCATTGCTTTGGGCCTTTGGGAGGTAGCACATCGGGTGGAAGCACATGATGACGGAGACAGAGGAAGCTGCTCACCTATGCTGGCTGGGAAGCAGCATGAGGTAAAAGAAGAGGGACCAGGCTTCCAGTGTCCCCTTCAAGGGCATGTCCCTGTATGACCAGAAGACTTGCAACTTGATCCCAGCTCTTCAAGTTCCCATGCCCTCCCTCTAGTGCCATGGGCTGGGGACCAAGCCCTTAACATACGACACTTATCCAGGCCATAGCACTTTGCTGCATGGAAATTCTATTCACGGAACACTTTGGACAATACTGCTCTGGTTAGTAAACTCATTCATTTAAATCAGTGGGAACATCAAGTAGCTGTTTTTATTTATTAAGAAAAATTCGAATTACTTTCAGTAAATAACTATTGTAATTGGAGACCCTATTGGCTCTGCTCTAATGAAGATAAACTTTCCTTCCCAATTAGCAGGAGCCATCAGCTGCCATCACACACAAGCACATTTTAATAACCAGCACTTTCTTTCTCATTTGAATGCTTGCCTTGTAATATTCTTTATGTATATGGTTACGGTCTTTATAACAAACTTTCCCTTCCAAGAAGTTTTTTTATCCATCTCCTGTCTGGTTTTGTTGAACAATTTTTAATAAGATCTTTCTGTGTAGTATGTTATTTATAAATTTCCAAAAGAGTTAACCTTTGGTTTAATGTTTTATGCAGTTATCTCCAGAACTTTATCTGAAGAATATAATTAGTCCCAGTTGTATGGAATATTTTATTTAATATTCTTTTCTCCTAGGATATTCCCAACCGGTTTTGTAAAAGATACTGGTTCAGGTGTTCAGAGGCTTTTTGCCACATTTGGTCCACGCTTTTGTTTTCTTGCCAGTGTTATTTGGCCTGTTTTGTTTCTTTTGAAAACACTTTTTATGAGGGGAGGGGTCCCGAGGAACACCAGGGTTATTTAATCAGAATGTATGTAACTTTACTTCATAGGTTTTTAAGTGTGAAGTGCAGTAGCTCTCAGTCTGTTTTGAGATGAGGAAACTAGGACAGAAGAGTGTGGTTTTTCTGAGGTGACCCATCTAGCTTGTAGCAGAGCAAGAGGAGACTCCAGGTGTTTTCACCTATCCCAGTGGAAGTTACTGTCTTAATCCCAACAAGAGCTGCTCAGTGGCCTAGATAACCGAAGGTCAGCAGGTGGAGAGAAATGGATCCAGTGTGTACCAAATCCGTACTGGAGCAGGCAGCAGCAGGGAGACTGGCGAAGGCTGCGGTCTTTCCTGTCCTCAAGGACCTGGCTTCCTCATGAGGAGAGAAGAATACGTAAGTGCCTTGAAAGCAGAGGTTGACAACTGTGTTCCCTAGGCCTGTTTTATGGATGGCCCATGAACTAGGAATGATTTTTATGTTTAAGTGATTATTTAGAAAAGGAAAAGAAAAGTATGAACCCAGACTAGGAGTCATAGTATGGCCTGGATCTTTACAGAAAGAACAGTAGAATCACAAACATGCAGACCAGTTAGGTAAATGTTGTGGTTGCTGTGAATATGAAGTTGTTATAGAAAGAGCAATGTTTTGACATTCTCATCTCTAGCTCTTGGGGTGCCTGTATGCACCGCTGCTGCATGTATGTACCACTGCTGCATGTGCTCACAAGGCCTCTGGATTGTATCCTAGAGCTTAGTTCTCACACAGCAGTCTGCAGTGAGCTGTACCCTCTGTCAGGGCGGCTCTGGGCCACTCGGGCTCAGGCTCCTTCAAGGTGTATGCTATACCTTCCCTCAGATATCATCCTGGGCTTTCTGGGACAAGGACTTGTTTCCACGTTAAAGACAACCTGAAACTTGCAGACGTCACTTTGAGCCACACTCTGTCCACATCCCATTGGCCAGAAGCAAGGGACTGGGAAACAGAGTCCTTGGCTAGGCAGACAATTGCCATGTCAAAACGTCTCCCAAAAAAGAAGTGAAACAACTGGCCTCGGACACAGCGTGAAACACATCAACTCAAGTTTCTCAACCCCATGACCTGGGCCCCTTTTATTAAATTGTAGTTCTCGGCTCCAAACCCGCTGCTCCCTCCTCTCTTTTGTGATGTACCAGGGCTGAGACTGCAAAACATGTTTCTGCTTCTGTGGTTTGAATCTGTTAGGCTCTGATGACTGGGCAGCACAGAGACCACCATATTGGAGAAGGAAGAGGACCTTACACCTTCCTTTGTTTCTGATATTTGTACACATCATCCTAGAGGTAATAATGCTAATCTCTTTCCAATCCTGTAAGTCATAGCCCCTTCTTGCAATTGCTACCCCCATGATACATCTTCCTATTCCCTTTTTGCCCTTTGCATCATTAGTTACAGTTCTTTATGTGATATTCTCTCTGTTCAAAAGCTGGTACTATTTCTCTTTCCTGACTGGTCCTGTCCAGCCCCTCCTTTGTTATTCTTAAGATTCAATTAGCACAGGCTAAGGGAGGAGGCCACTTATACAGTGCAGAGAACATGTCCATCATTGGGAGGATGCATTAGTCAGCTTTCCGTCACTGTGACAAAAAACCTGAGATAATCAACTTAAAATATGGAAAGGTTTATTTTGGCTCACCATTTCATAAAGGGCATAGAGGTCACCCCAGTGACCTCACTTACCTCCATGAGGGTGTAATTTCTAAGGTCCTACAGTCTCCAAGTAGCTCCACTGACCTCAAACCTTCAGCATATGGACCTTTGGAGGATATGTGAGAGCCAAACTATAGCAGATGAGATTTTGATCAAGCAAGTGTGGCCGTTCTTTTGTTTAGCTATCCCACACAGCAGCTGACACAGCAGTACTTTGTTCCAAGGAGACTTCCTTTCTAAATTGATAGAAACTGTCCCTGATAAAGGGCATGTCTGTTTGAGACAATAGAGAAATAATGGGGTTCTTAGTTTTTGAGCTAATCTGAAAGTTATCTCTATTTTTGCTCAGCCAGTGCTGCTTTTCCTAGGTATAATTTGGTGAGTCCTTGTTTGGCAGACATTTTCCTAATGACATCTAGTGTAAGAGTCTCCAAGCCAGACAGTAATGAAAGATTGATGGAACTCCAAGGATGGCTGATGAAAGTTTAATCTAGGGTGTGCGCTGTCTTGCCACAGGGAGAAAAGTCTTCTGGGAGCGAACAGTAATTCTCTCCCCATGCTGCAGTATTGTCCTGACCTCTGGAGCTAATTTCTTTTTAATACAGCCCCAGAATAAGCAGGGGGATCAGGATTTACTTGGCTCTTTTGCTGACTTACACTCTGGCTATATTTTATCTCTTTAAAAGTGCCTTCCTTATCTTCTATTAATAATGCCAGGATGCTTGCTATACTTTTAGCGTAGAATAACCTTTAAGGAAAGACATTGTAAGTAATGGTCCAAGAAAAGTTCCCCTCCGAGGCATGTGGGAGGGCATTTTCAAACACATCTTTCATGGCAGTGCCATGGCTATTGGTGAGCAGATGGAGACAGTCATCCATTTTGATAACTCTGGCTCAGTTCAGCATCCAGTTTCTCCTCTGCATGTTGCACACCAGCCAGTGAAGCATGGAACTTGATGCTGCTTGTGTGTAGAGGGAGCAGCCATTTCTGATGGTCCCTGGAGAACCTCCCTCCTGTACTTCCAGAGTCCTGAGCCAGGTGAAGAATGGGCCTCTGTGGATGCAGTGGGAGGCCATCACGTGTTTTTGGCCACAGTAGTTCTCTGTGCCACTCCCCAAAGTACCATCATCTTCTTGGACCACTCGAAGCATCCAGGACAAGAAAGAGTGGGCTTAGTGGAGAAATAGCCAAACAACCCCTGTAACCCTGAATGAGTGCCTGAGGACAGAGGAAGTTGGAACTGCTACAACCAGAGCCTCTCTTGGGTTCTGGAATTCTGCAGATGCCCAGTCCGTGATTAGGTGCTTGAAGAATTGCTAAAAGCCTCATATTATTGCAAATGAATGTGCGGTCACTGCTCTTTACACTCAAGTTGTTGCCTTGAACCTTTTTAACTCAAATGTAATCGTCCTGAGATTTTTGGCTTCCTGGTGAGTCCAGTGTCTAAGAACCTAAGAATTTAAGAACATCTGGTTAAACTCAGAAAGTCTCATTGTGTACAATTAGGATAAATTCTAAAGAGCTAGGAGAGATCAAGAGAAAGGATACTGGAGTGAGAGTCCTACTATTGTAGCTTAATCAGGGTTTGAGGTGAGGGGACGTTCACTCAGAACCCTGATCTCTCCTGCAGTGGGAGTTACCTCTGTGCTGTTAGAAATACAGAAGTGCTTTCAGAGAAGTGCCATGCATTGCTCCAGTGGTACTATCTTTATTAACATAGTAATATTTCCTGGAAATATTGCCCTGAGTCAATCATAACATGTAAAAATTAAAGGGGGGGGGAGAAAATGAGAATGAGAATCTGGCAGAATTTATATGTGTTTGAAATATGAATGTTAGTGATGCCTCAATAAAGTTGTTTAAGATACCTTCTAAAAATACATAGTGAGTACATGCCAAAGGTTTTATTTAACTCGTGAACGGGGACACCAGCAAGATACCAAAGGGAAGCATGGGAGAGGCTGAGAACCCTCCAGAATGGATCACCAGGCCACCAGGAGGCACTTGCGCTTCAAGACTCAGAAAGCCCCTTCAGCAGGATGAGTTACATATGCAAACCCACCAGCCTAGGCACAGCCAGTGGTTAAAATGAAAGTCTCACCAAAAATCCCAACAGCAGCAGAGGAAAAAGGAGGCGCTGAAATCAATCTCTAAGTTACACACAAAACTGGCTGATGCTCCACTTCCAAGAAAAACCTTCACCTTTGGGATTATCTTCTTCTTCTTTTTTTTTTTTTTTTTTTTTTAGCAGAAAGTTGTAGAAATTACTTGTAGTTTATAAAATGTATTAATGTTCTATAAATTAATGGCTAACTTCATAGATTCTGAGGCCTCATCACTAGCAAAAAGTTGCACAAAGAAATATTTTGCTAGACTCTGGCTGTTCAGTTTGGCAGCTGCAAGTCACAGGGGCCCTTGAGCTTGAAATGTAGCTAGCCTGAATGGAGATGTGTAGTAAAATGTAAAATGCAGAGTAGAATTCAAAGGCATTGTATTAAAAGGAAGATTTTTAAATCTCATATCAATATTTTATGTTAATTACACAGTGAACAGGGTCATATTTTGGACATATTAGATTAAATAAAATATTAGAATTAATTTCACTTGTTCCATTTTCCCTTTGTGCAGTGTGACTGCTAGGGAAATTTTAAAATACTCATGTGGCTTGAATTACATTTCTGTGGGGCAGCACTGCTGGAGATTAAATAATCCTTAGGAAAGCTTGTTAAATATTTGTCCACTGTGACATTGAGCAGTATATAGACCCCTTTTTGCTTTATATCCAAATTTTGGCTAATATTTTTTTAGCTGATTTTTTAAATCAGTTAATACCTGTCTCTCTACTCCCAGTCCTTAACCCTTAACTGCTGTCTGTCTCTCTGCATCCTCAAAAACCTGCCACCCTGTAAACCAAGTCATCCTGACTGTTGCTGTTCTCTGAAGCTTACAGGATGGAGCAAGACCCAGGGTGTGACAGATCAGGCCTCAGCCCTCCTTCCCAACTCCCAGACAGGCCAGGCTCAGTGATCCTGCCCAGCTCCCTTTCCTTAAAGCCCCTTTCTGAATCCTTGGTTTCCTTATGTTGCACAGGCTCTTTCTTCCTCCCCTGGACACAATAGCAGCCTGTGGAAACCTATACCCTTGCTTCTGTGAAGGAAGCTGTGTGTAACTCTATGCTTATTTATGTCTCCTCTCACATAAAAACAGATTTTACAAGGAAAGTGTACTAGCCATTTTTCTGTTGCTGGGATGAAATACCTAACATATACAACTTAGAGGAGAAAGGCTCATGATTTCAGAGGTTTGAGTCCATGGTTGGTTGGCTCCATTGATTTTAGACTTACAGCAAGGCAGAAATGTCATGGTGGAAAGGCATGGTGGAAGAAAACTGCTCATCTCATGGCAGGCAGGAAGCACAGAGAGCAAGGAAGAGAGGAAAGAACAAGACGCAAGAATATCCCCTTCCAGGTCACGCCCCCAACTACTTTGAGCTACTTTCTCCAACCAGGCTCCACTTCCTAAGCAGCACATTCAGAATGGGGTTGATCTGATGAGGTTAGTGCCCTGCAAAATCTGGTCACCTTCCAAAAGCCCCTTCTTTGAACACCTGAGCCTTTTGGAGAACATTTTTTTATCCAAATCATAACAGTTATTAGATTTTTTTATATAAAAACTTTAGGTAGGCTCTTACATTCTTTATAGTCATTTAATTTTGTGTCATTGATTTTCAAATTGTTTTGTCATAACATAAGAAATATAGTTTATGGCATGACTTAATATTCAGTCTCATTCTCAAATATAACTAACAAAAATTTCACACAGCATACTTACCTTCACTGGGTGTTCTGCCTTTTGTTTTTCCTTTGTGGTCTTGTTCTATTTGTTTCACTTAAATGCTATTTGTGACCACCAATTGATCAAAGTTTGAAGAACACCAATCTTGCCCAACTTTCCCAGAAAGTTTTTTAGCTGAGCGTCTTAAACTGGTGCTTAAAGAAAAAGATTCCATAAAGGTTCCAATAATTTCAGGACCAACTGTGTGCAATTTCTGCTCTCAGAGAGAGCCCCTAACACAGGTCGAAGCTATTGAAGGCTCTGAGCTGTCCTGCTCACAATACTCGGTGAGCGTGAAGCTCACATTGTGCTTCATACCAGTGACCTGCAAGAGGACCTGCATTTCTGGAGCCTGCCACCTCCGAAAAACCTGGAGAATGCTGGTCTCTAGATTCTGGGTGATAACCTTATAGTACCAAGTTGTATTAGCACAAAGCTCTAGTTTTAGACTTTCATTTGCTTGGCCCCTCACCCTTTGTATCTTCACCAAAACATATTGTATTCATATGAACACAGCTTTCATTATACAAAGTACAGTTATAAGTGATGACCCTATGAGAATATCATTGAAGATCTCTTTTTTTACTGTGTTGTACAATCACCCTTGTATGGAAAGTTGACATTCCAGTTTCTTTTGAGTTTTTGGGTCTAGAAAATATTGTATCTTAAAGAATTTTCATGTGAGAATTTGGTTAATAGTGTAAACTGCCTAGTTGGTCATGTTTTCTCTTTGCTAAGGAATTTCAAGTTAATTTCTCCATTACAGTGATTATTTTAGATGGAACTATATGACATTGCCATTTTTGTGAATCAGAAATGGTTGATTCCAACTAATATTTAGTCAATTTATAGAATCAATTCCTCTTCCTACTACTTGGTTTTAAATTTTACTTTTCCAATTGAGCACCTGATAAAATATTGTCTTTTATTGTAAAACATTAAAATAAACCAAGTCCAGCTGTAATGTTCCATTAACCAAGAGGATGTTTAAAAGGCAGTTTTTCTCTGACTGCCCTGTTGTTCAGTAATTGGGAAATATTACCAATCTGAAAACATTTTTGAAGTGCTACTTCTTTCCTGTAAACTTCTTCAGTAACTAGAAGGACAAGAAAGTTAAAAATATATCTGTACAGCCAGTTAATATTTATTGACCAACCCAAGTGACATTTTTGGTTGTCATTATAAGTTAGAGAATAATAAATAGTGTCACAGAAATCACCTAGGCCCTAAAGGTACTTGCTTGCAAAATAGCTTTCTCCACCATCAGGAATCCCATTACAAAGATAAGCAGTGATTACTAAAAGTGTTATATCTAAAGGGTGGTGTGAAATTTCTTAATATAGTTCCTCTACAGAGTCAGTGGCCTGGAGTAAATGTCTATCCCCCTTTCTTGCCTAAAGGAAATGTTCTGATTTATCTCTATATAACTTCTAGCTTAAGAGTTGCTTTGTCTTTTTTATTGACATAAGGAAAGCTATAGAAGATATTTATTAAGGAAGTTGAAACCTAATACTATTTATTAAATTCACTAAGTATTGAAAGTAAAATAAAAGATAATGTGTGTATGTATCTGTACGGTACAAATTAGAGTGTCCTTCAAAAGAGAGAGGGTTAGAGAAGATGGTATGCATCATAAGTCTTCAAAACTTAAGTCACTCTTAATTATAATTCTCTTTAACCTTGGAGCCCTTCTGCTAGCAATTGTACCAAAGAAATATACTAATTACAGAATAAGGAAAATAGAAAAGGCTGTGATCATCCAAAAGGCCACTGTAATTTTTTCCAGCTTTCAATTACAATTTAGACATACTCATTCCTGTATATTTTTAAGTGATGTGATGCAACGTTGGCTTTCTTCGGGCCCCAGACCAGATCGTTCTCATCCCTAACTTGAAGTGTCAAGTTGGAATTCCTTCTCTTCCTCCTTCCTCTATCACGGTCTGATCTGCCTCTCTGAGGATTCATTCAGTGTCCACTTCATCCTCATCATGTGTCATCCACTGTGCTTGGCCCCAGATGCAGGCATAAATGAGAACTTCCTGGTCCCTGGCCTCATGGGATGTACTAAGTGGAACAGGCAAGTGATTATATGGGGCCTTGAGTCCCAGGAAGCACTTTGTAATATAACTGTGAAGTCCTGTGCAAGTGTTACATGACATCCCTGTCCTTATGACTTAGTCCCAGTCCCACCTGTTCTGCTAGGCTTTCTGTCAGTCAGCATGGGCCAGCTATGCTACAGTAACACTCACCCAACCTAAAACAACTCCTTTTCTGCTCAGTCTCGTATAGTTTGGCCAGAGACACAACGTTCATGCTAATTGTCTTCATTCTGTGTCCAAACAAATGATACAGTCACAGTCTAGACTGGAGTGTTTCCAACCGCACTTAAAATTCCTGCTTGGCAGTGGGTGACGCATACCGCTTTTGCTCACCTTTCATTGGCCAAAGCAAGATGCATGAGCAAGCCTGACTTTGAGAGGCGAGAAAATATACCCTTTCCCTAGGAAAGGATTGGATATTCACATTACACCACGCCCTGTGAGGTCTTTCATCTTCTTCAGTCTGTATATTTTAATAGTGCCCAGTGTTTTCAGCCCTTTATTGTCACTTAACAATGCAAGTGTGTATGTCTGCCCGGTTAGACTGTGAATTCCTGACAGGCAGCATGTTTTGTCTTTCTTTGGATGAGAAAACTGAGACCGCAAACTTTACATGGCTTGCTCAGTGTTGCATTCAAAAGTGGTTGAAAGCCAGGTGTAGTGGTGTAGTGGTGTAGTGGTGCATACCTATAATCCCAGCGTTCAAGAGGCTGAAGCAGGAGAATCACCCTGAGTTCAAGGCCAGCCTGAACTACATAGCAAGACCCTGTCTCAAAAAACAAAACCAAAAACAAATCCAAAAAAAGTGATTGAGCTCTATCTGAAACCTTGAATTCTAACTACTGGACCAAAGCTTGGCCTCCTCAGTTTTGTTAATGTGGACATCCCAGTTTTCTGCTGATTAACCCCACAAGGGAAGGGCAAAGGAGGGTTCAGAAAAGGAGTTGCAAATCTCTGGCCAGAACAGGGCTATGTCTCCTCAATGTGGGTCCCAGAGAAACTGAGGGGTGTCTGGCAACAACTCGCAGCTTGTGTTCAGCAGGTCAGTGTATTCCTGTCCTGTAGCTGCCTTTTTGTAGCAAATGACCACAGACATTATCTTAAACAGCAGGAATGTATTCGCACACAGTCTAGAGGCCAGAAGTTCCACACCACTCTCCCTGGGCAGAATACGTGGTAGCAGGGTTGCAGTCCTCTGAAGCTGCAGGAGGTCCATTCCTTGCTTTGCCAGCTGCTGCTTGCAGCTGGCATCCTTGACTGAGGCCACAGCATGTCAGTCTCTGAGTCCATCTCCACACCACTCTGCATTTCCAGCATGTCATTTCTCTGTGACTCTTAGGACACTCAGGACTGGATTCACTGCCCACTTGGATAATCCTCACATCAGAAGCCTTAGCTTAGTCACATCTCCAGTGACCCTTTATCCTGGAAGGTAGCATTTGGAGCTTCCAGGGTGAGGATTGGTCTTTTTGGGGTCCTTGTTAAGCCTGCTACAGTTAGGATGGTGGAGACCCCTGCTGCTCCCCAGGTTATTTCTCGCCTGCCATGCTCCTCTGTCTTCTGTACCTGGGTCTCTTTCCCTCTGAGTGGTGCAGATGATGTGGTCTGCCAGAAGGATCTC